ATCAAATCTTGCCATACATAACGTTCGCATACAACACGGCCAAGCAAGAAACGACCCGCATGACACCGTTCAGCCTCGTTTATGGATGGGAAGTACGAACCATGTTAGATGCAATGTTACCGCAGGAAGGCGACGGCATCGTCCCGGATGCTGACACTTATTGAACGCGCGGAAGAAGCTAGGCAACTTGCACGTTTACGCATCAGCCAGCAGCAAGAGTACGATGCAGGCCGTTACAATGCTCATCGCAGAACAGTCGTCTACCAAACTGGCGACAAAGTATGGGTTTGGACGCCGGTACGGAAACGAGGACTTTCCGAAAAGCTCTTAAGAAGATACTTTGGACCTTACCTAGTGCTGCGGAGACTGAGTGACGTCACTTACGAAGTTGTTCCCGACAGTTCGCATAGTACAAGGCGTCACCAGCACCATCCTGAACTCGTTCACGTAGTCCGCATGAAGCCTTACGTCAGCGAGTGATGTGAGACTTTTCTTGCTAAAAAAAAAACAAAACTTCATTAGAGACTTTGCATCGGGGCGATGCTCTTTGAGAGGGAGGCAAATGACGCATGTCTACATGTGGACGAAAACAATGATGGGGGATTTAGTGGATACGAGGTAGTGGGCCTCTAGCTTCACTCGAGACTGAAGAAGACAATCTTATGGCTCAGCTGTTGAAAACACGCTGCTTTTGTTGCCTCAAGGTGTACCTCTGTTTTATTCGCGTTGTACCGCGACAATATATATATATATATATATATATATATATATATATACATACATACATACATATATATATACACATTTACATGTACAAGAATGATGGCTACGGGGACAGCAAAAACCATTTGCGATTGTCCATATAATTGCTATTGGAATTATTGGAATAAAATTTTCGGCCAACATATACACACACATCTGAGACATGCAGTGACTAAGTATGTTAGCATGAATTGGAAAGCAAGCATGTGCTGCAACAGTAGCTGCAACTTTTCAAGGAGTCCTCCAACACTGTCGAAGCTGCTAAGAAATGCACCAGTGGTGCCATGTTGCAATAACAGGAAAAAAGGAAGACGTTGGAGCTGGGTTGTTTCGAGCATTAGAGGGTATTCGGTTTCAGTATACCGATGCCAACGAATAAGCACTATGTAGCCATGGAGGTGGTAAATAGTGGCAGGCCAGCATTTTCCACTTTTGTGCAAGTTTAGTGCATACTCTTAATAGACGAAAAAAACAACACACTCTGCAGCACTACTCACTATTGCCTCATTGTGCCACTCAGAAACATTGCCTGCAGGAACTAAAGCAGCTTGAAATCGCTACACCCACGTGCTGTGGGTAATTCTTGGTGAACACCCTCATGCCCGATGTGTGTGTATAGTACAGCAGGCTCCCCAGCAGTGACGGCATAAGCGTAGACAAAACTGACTGGAACAATAAACGCCATGCGGCAGCATATCTGCACGTCATTGAAGCTGCAGAGGTTTTTATACAGGCACAAACACAAAGAACATTGGCAAACTCTATGCTGCTGCCACAGCCTTTGTGTTCTGTATTATCATATGGCGATTTCACACATGGCTGTGCGAATCCGACCACTTGAGGGAAGTGGAAAAGGGTGAATTTGTTTTTTTTAACTGCCCAATTTTTCAGACAGTATTGGGGTCTCCTGAGAGTCCAAAAAATGGTATGTTGACTGTATGTTGCTACACACCCACCCCTTCATTTTTTTATGTTTTACGTTGTTGGCTTATTGCACGTGTTGATCATGCCTTATGCAAACCGTGCCAGAATGTCTGAGAGCATCCCAAATTAGTTCAGAATCATCTAGTAGGCTTGAGCACGCAAGCGTTAACAGTGGAGTTTGTTGTCAAACAAACGCGGTCACTAGTGATAATGCTCAGATGTTCGCTGCCGCATGTATAAATGCCAGCCAGCACGCCTCACCACAGATGTGAGGTTATCGATCACCAACAACATCCTGTATGCTGCTATCAGTGCTAGTTGGTATTGCTGTAATCAGACTTTCCATTTACCGGCCACAAGTTTGGGCCAAATAAACAGTTTCACCTTGGATATAGAGACTCCTGCCTTCGTCATCGTTTTGACCATAGTGCATGTGCAGCCAGCAGTTTTTTGTGAGCATGTGAATAGTTCTGGCGTGTTGCTTTCTCATATCACTTATGCAGAACCAGTGTAGCGACTGATGCTATCTGCTGTCGCACTGTCTCGGTTGCCTCAATAAGAATAGAAAGGTGGGCTAGTTGGTGGTTCATATTTGTTCAGCAAACTGGGAGTGCAGCAACACAGAATAGACAGAGGAGCACAGGCGCTCACTAACAACTTGGATGCCTCGTCACAGCTGTGCCAAGTGTACAATTGCCACTAACAAGGCAAGAGCGGAAAAAGTTTGCTATTACTAAATGTTGCTTGTGTGGATGCAAAAGCTGTAAGAACGCTACAGCAGAGGAGGTCCCATAATTGGAATTTACAAATAAGATTTTGTTAATTTCTTAGCAACACTAAAGGGCAAAGAGGCCACATTAAGTGCCCATTTTGTATTCTTGGTGTGGTGTGCCCATTTTGGAGTGCTGCAGTTGTCAAATACACTACTGTATTAAATTTTTTGTCTTCAGCACCATTCTAGATATATTGCCACCTGGTTATCTTCAGGTTGACTTACACAACCCATCGAAAGACCACTGCGTATCACCCTCAGAGTAATGGTTTAACAGAAAGGCTAAACAAAACGCTAGCCGACATGATCTCTATGTACGTGGATGTGCAGCACAAAACGTGGGACGACATCCTGCCGTACGTAACATTTGCGTATAACACTGCAACGCAGGAAACTACACGCTTCACGTCATTCCGACTCGTTTATGGTCGAGATGTTAGAACTATGCTGGATGCCATGATTCCATATGAGGACATCGACAAGCTCAACCAATTAGCCCCTGACATCAATGAGTACATTCAGCGCGCTGAGGAAGCACGTCAACTGGCCCGTGTGCACATCCGAACTCAACAGTGCGCAGATGCACGGCGGTACAACATCCAGCATCGAGAAGTTAATTATGAACCTGGTGACCAAGTTTGGGTTTGGACACCCATCAGGCGGCGAGGTCTTAATGAGAAACTCTTAAGGAAGTACTTTGGACCTTACAAAGTACTCAGACGTGTGAGCGACAAGAACTACGAAGTGGTTCCAGACGGAGGCTCACCATCATCCCAGCGCAGGTTACCACGCCCAGAGACTGTACACCTAGTCCGCCTAAAACCATACTTTACGCGGTGATGCGAATTTTTTTCTTGTGCCAGTGAACTCTTCATGTGAACAGTGAATGCCATTTATTTCCGATTGCCGGGCCCAGGACGCATTTTCTCTCGTGCACTAATTTGTTTAATGTTTTTTATGTTACCTATTTCGACTCACTGCTGTGCACACTTTTGTTTGAGCATCGGGTCGATGCTCTCTTGGGAGGAGGAGTAATGCCACCTGGTGTTCTGTGCCAGTGAACAATGGGTCAGTTCTGTGCTGTGAACGAGGAAGACGAAGACGAGCAACCCGTGCCAGTGGAGAAGTCCTTCTTTGTCTCTGAGATTTTTGACAGTCGCGTCCCTTTATACGTTCCTTCGAGCTCTTAGCGCGTGACAATATGTACTCAAGCCCACTGGTTTATTTCTGCGGCTGTCTGAAAATGCCCTTTTCTGTGTGCACATAGACCAACTGTTGTTTATCACACTATTTATTAGCTCATGAAAAACTATGAAAAAGTTCACTGAACCTGCACAGCTGTATGGCATGGCTTGTGCATGCACATTGTGGCACTTGCCCTCTGTGTCAACAGACACCATCACATCATGTATAGGCCCGTGGTGTGTTTTGGCAGAAGCAGCTGTCAGCACACCCTATGCTGTACACAAACAAATCAGTCTATGAACTATGCGTGAGTGAGCATCACGTCATGCTGTGCCAGAGCATCTTTTTGAATGTGTGCAATGTGAACAATAAAGGGAGGGTGTGCTTTACAGGGCCATTTTTTTCACATTGCTGATATGCCAAAAACCAAAGCAATTCGTCCACCTTTCGCTAATGCATGCCGGTCATAGAACAAGCTAAAGTGCAAGGCCAACAATAGAAGGCAACTTTCTAAGGCAGGTGTATAACAAGAATAAATAAATAAATAAATACCACAAGAACACAGTCCTCTTAGTGCCCCGAAACACATGTCGTACCATACACACTTTATTTGTGCAACTTGCTTTCCAAAGGACAAAGAGGTTTCTGACGCACCAGGGGCACTGCAGAGTTCATGTTTGACGTGATACAACAGAATCTCTTCATAGGAGACGTGTACCGAGGAATATGTCTTGTCTCTTGTAAGCAGGGCTCTCGCTTCCTGGTCGACCAAATTTCTATGCAGATGCCTTTTATGCCCATTTGTCTCTGACATCAGTGTCTCTTATAAGGGGTCCAGCTGTATATGTTATAAGTGGCGCATGAGTCGCTATATGACACAAAGTACTTTGAAGCATTTGTAAACATTGAATCCATGGCTGCAAAACAGCAAGCAAGCTTGTTTTGCATACACTTGTTTGTGGTTTTGCCGTGTATTTGTCACATTCATCGTCTACTGCACACAAATTTGTGCCATCTGGCGGGAAGGAAACCATGACTAAGTGCTCTACTCGGCCCTGCTGGCACATGTGTTATGAGCATGCTGCACGATAGGACAGGAGTACAGACTTGAGCCACTTTTACCGGAGCATTATTTTTGAAAACAGTTCTTGGAGACACAAAATTAAAATGATAAACTTAGGTGCATTATATGGATAATTGTTTTTGGTAATGTGGACTAGGGATATATGGTGTAGATTGTAAGAAGATGCAGCCCTCATTTAGACGAGTGTAGTTTGAGTCCACACTGCAATGATGTGTAACAGTATCTCCTGCAATGAAGAAGTTGGCCTGAGCTTCCATGAACGGTTGCTTGCAGCCGAGCCAAGGCGATTCGGGAGAAGAAGCTGCAGGTGCTGGAGCAGGGCCTCCTCAAGACAAAGGGATCAGTGCCCCTGCACCTCCACAAGATACAGGTTAGTACACAGCCCACTTTCTCTTTGTGCTGAAAGATACTAGTACTAAGATTTTTATGGCACATTTAAAACCCATTTCAAACTGAAGTTTTTCACGGAGGGCTTCTCTGCATGTACTACATGCTCTTTCAAACTGGGCTAATGAGTTGAATCCCCGTGAGTGAACTCTGTGCTTATTGGAAATTTCACAAATGACAGAGTTTAGTTTTGTGACGGAATGCTTGGTTTTGCTGCAACTTTATGGTTGTCCATTGTGCAGTGGTGTCTAATAGTGCGCACAGTAGCATGAAAGTCTTGTTTCATTTTTTTCTTTGTGAGTCGGCTGGCTGTGGCACCTGCATCATGTTAACTTGGTGGTGTTTGGGTCAAGGACATCAACGCTTTGCTCAGTCAAATATTTGCAAGCCAGCCAGCACAAGAAGGGCTAGTAAACTGAAATGACACCACCTATAACGAAGGAAAGTGAAAATTTTAAGGGCTTGTTTTCTTTGTTAGACACAGTAATAATGATAACTGTGTTGGTTAGTTCTTATTAAACATCTATAACAGAATTTCATTGAAAAAGCTAAGTTTTTAAAAAGCTCAAATGATTTAGCACAACAATAAAAATGTCCAGCCTTTGCAACAACTAACACTCAAGCATTTGCATTAGTCATAAGCCTCCTGTTACTTTACTAACGAAAACACCCAAAACAACACAATTTCAGGGAACGAGGGAAGCTTGAAGATATGAAAAATTTGTGAACGTGGAGTGTTGCTGAAGCCAATGCTTTGACCGTAGATCATACCGTCTTCAAGGCTGCCAGTATATACCGTAACAGCCTGCTCTTGTCCAAGGGCGTTTTCGCTCGCTTGGTGGTTTTGTGTGGTCGGCAACGAACGGCTCTCAGCGACGTCCATGCGTACTATTCCGCAGCGTGGGCCCATGGGCCCTCATGGTGTGTCGGATGTCGGCGACACCGCATTCATGATACATTGCATGTGTTCTGTTATTTTATGTGTGTTATGTAATGCATGTGTTCTCTTGGCATTGTGTTAGCTTTAGCATATCACTAGTTATTCAATAGATTCGGCTGGCGAGCTTGCTGTGATGGAAAAGCAGTCCATGTTTACTCGGAGGCATGACAGCGTGTTTCATGAGTACACTTGGCTTTTTGATCCCACAGTGCAAGTACCCACCACCCCCCTACACCCAAATTTATTTATTCATTTTATACTTTTACTTTATTAGTGATCTTTCCTTTTGACTTGTCTGGCTTGGCGCGCCAGCTCCTCCTATCTTCAACCTCTGTTTGCGTGCTTGCTTTATTCTCCTCTTTCAATCGAATTGGAGGAAAGCATATCAAACATGAACATACAACACTAAGGTATTGACGCAAGAGCACTAAAGAGCTTGTTTCTCAGAAAGATTGGCATCGGTGTCATTTTCCATGGTGGAAAAATTGTGGCAGATGCAAATAAAATAAACAATAAAAAAATTCATTTTGAAAAGAGAATTGAACTCTGGCTGTCTTCGTGGCAAGCAGGTGTGCTACCACTTTCTTGGAACTGCTCGGAAGAAAACACTATGTGAATGTCATGTAGTGAAAAAAGCCTTTGTAACATATTGCGTGGCACAATCCTATTGTTCGCAGCATCAAAACAAGTGACTTGTGTAACGAGTGCATGATTTTAAGCTGGCCACTCGTTACAAAGTGTGCATTTGTTTAAAGAGACACTGAAACATACAGAAAAAAAAAGATGATATAGTGTCATGACACGTAGTTTCGTTTGTCGAACTCGAAAATCAAGTAGGAAATTCGCATAAACCAACACAAATAATTTTATTTTGCCGAAAGCAAGCAACAGGTACTGCGGCCGTCATCGCAAGTCTCATCGCCGCTTTGATTGGTCGAAGCTCTATGGCATCATTGTCAGGAAGCTGACGACAGCTGACTGCGCTCGCCAGCAGGCGATGCTGTGTTTATTCATTCATTTATTTTATTATCTCAAAGGTCCCAGTTGGGATATTACATGAGGGAGTGGGTGATAAAAAGGCTATTAATATAAGGGTAGTAATGATAGGATGGTTTCGATGAGCCGCTTGAATGGTTGGGTGTCGATGATGGTGGCGACTTCGATGGGCAGCTCATTCCAGTCTAATGCTGTGCACAGGAAAAACGATTTGTGAAATTTGACGTTATGGGCTTGCATGGATAGATGGTGTTGCAGTGACTGTGGCAGGAAATGCGATGGGCTCTTCTGATGTATGGGTTATTTAAAAGCAAAGAATTAGGCTCGTGCGAATATTGTGATGCTTTGAATATTCTAACGAATACTAGGGTATTCGAATTCACTTCGCTTCGAATATAAATTACTCATAATTTCGAAGCATTTGCAAGGAATGAATAAACGCAAATTAATCCAAAGGTACCCCCTGTAAAGGGGTTTTTACATCAGTGTAGTAATGCTGCACCGTGAAAGGACCTGTCCAGGAAAAATTCGCTCTATCGTGAAGCCTCTCTACAAATTTAAAGGGGCCCTGCAACACTTTTCGAGCATCCTCAGAAAACGCTGCCGATTGGTAGTGAAGGCTACCCAGGTTACGCAAGCCAAATATTATAGCACAGCACGCGGCGTGCGAATCACAATAAATTCTCAAGATCAGCTAAAAATTGCCCTGTTCTCTCGGCAAGTGATTCCGCTAGCTCAGAAAGTACGCTAACATATTTTCTTTTGCCAAATCATCCTTTCCTGTTTAGCTTCCAGAGCTTTCTTTGGGACGGGATGAGAAAATGCATAGCATTGTGCGAGCAATCTTTGTAACTTCGCGCGCACTAGACGCATTCTAAAATTTTTTGCGGGAATGAATTCATGAGGCAATAAGCTTCTTTAGTGTATTCAATCCATGGCTACATGAAAGCCAGACAGCCCCTTCAAATGAAAATATTACCCTCAAATCAATTCATTTTATTAAGCTTGAAAGCTTGTTATGACGGCTTACATGCTCGAAGTATAATAAATTTTAAAACGTTAACGAATTTTAAGGGTTATGACTCACATCCTGCTGATAGTCAAATCCTGCTACTAACCAAGGTTGTTATGACTTCCCTTGAACACAAAAAAAGGCATTTGTATAGAGGCCCTATTTCAATTAGAAAACAATATTGTGCAGGTTAGTTAGGTCATGATAGGCTTGCCCACTTTTCTTTATATGTCATATCTACTATTCGAATTAGATTAGAAACTATTCAACCAAAATCACTGCTTGCACAAGACTAGAAAGAATAGAAGAATTTATGATAAAGGTTAAGACGTGCAATTTTGGGGCGTATAGCCAGATTGGATAAGTTAATGTTTGCATTTAGTACGGAGATACTAGAGGTGTATGAATAGTTTGATAGTATAAATTGCACCGCACCTTTCTGGAGAGATTCGAAGGCGTTAATGAGGTTATTGTGGTGAGGATCGAAAATCGCATGCGCATACTCTAGCTTTGGTTAGACTAAGGTTTTCAAGGTAACATTTTAATAGAAAGGGGAGCGAGCGAAAGGTTCTGGCGTAAGTACCTTAGAGTATGATTAGGAGAGTTTATGATCTGCTTAATATGACAGATCCAAGTTAGGTCATGCAAGATGGTCACACCAAGGTATTTAAACCAATAAACTGTAGAAATCTGGTTGTTATTGATATTATAGTTATGAACAACATGATGATGACGACAGTGGATTGACATTAACACAGTATTAGAAACATTCAAGGACATAAACCAAGATTTACACCAGTTCTGTATGCGGGTGAGATTACATTGTAATATGGAATGATTAGATGGGTTCATAATTGTGCAGTAGACAACAAAATTATCGGTGAATACACGTATGTAAGAAGAAGCGTTTGAAGGGAGGTCATTAATGTATATTAAGGGGGGACATGGGTCTTAGGGCTCTCTCATTTATTTTTGAACCAAATGTGACAAAAGTTGGCATGCTTACTTAGTTTGTTCTCCGTATTCTAACTATGTAGTTATTTTTTCTATAGCTTTATTAGTTAATTATTTTATTAGGATAACAATATTTATTGTTCCTACCACAATAGAAAAATAACCACCAGTCTGAAATTTACAAATAGCATGGGGATCATCACTAGAAAGGACAAGCTACACAACATAGGAAGCACTTTTTGGATTGGGTCATTATTTTTTACTTCTGTTTACAGTACACTAAACTTCATAGCTCTGAATGAGGCCATTGTGTGGTTACACAAAAGACAAATTTAAAAAACTTGCCTCAAGAGAAATCAAAATATGCTTCCTATGTTGTGTGCTCCATACATATAGCTCTGTGCTAAAAAAAAATTATTCTGCTATCTGTAATAGTTTCCGATATATTGCAGGAATTTTCATGCAGGGTGTACAAAATTTCATTTTGAGAAAATCAAGAAACCATAGAATTCTAACATTTTTAACCGTAAAAATGTATGTACTTGGGATTACATAGTTATTAACATATATATGATTACTAGAAAGCCTAAGGAGTGCAACGCTGCAAGCTGATCGATAATTGAACGAGTACTTTTCGAATTACAGCACAATAAAGTTCATTGCGTGTAACCAAAAACAAAAATATTTATAATAAAGTAAAAAAATGAAGCTGCCCATTAAAAATAGGCTCTCAGCATTATTTTTTGTGCACATTTAGCTACATAGTGCAAAAAAAATTACAGCTCTAGTTGTCCTAGGCCCACTTTTACCAAACAAGCAAAAGAAAGTGGTCAAAATCTGTGCTTCAAGAATAATGCTGTTAAAACTTTATTCTGCCGTTCCGAGTGAAAAATATCATGGCACACATACTTTAAGGCAGTTAATATGCACCAGGATTGTAATAGGACTGATCGTTTGCACGAGCGTGTCGTTTCTTCTAGTCCTGTAGCAAGTTGTCGCCTTGTGCTCGTCTGCCACAAGGCCGCTTATCAGTTCGGTGACTGTATTGACGGCGATGTGTGACGAATGTGCGCACGTCATC